CCGAGACAGCGACTTTCTCCTCGGGACAGCCGCCCGCACTTGCACTTTTCTCCCCGCGGCTCCGGGAAAGCGACGAGCGGAGGAAGCAGCTTGCAGCTGCGGCTAATGCAGCTGCGGCTAAAATGCAGCTGCAGCTAAAATGCAGCTTCATCCCAGTCCCAAAGCCGGCGCCCTCCTTCGCCTGGTCCGCGGTCCTGCAGAAAGTCCAAAAGACCTTCCCCCAGGCGCCCCTAGGGTACGTGCCAGGGCGCAGACCTGGCCCGACCTCGATGGACCTCTGCAGATCGGGCCTGACCTGCCGCGATCAAGCCCTCGACCCCTGCCCCCCCAGCCTGGGTGTCCACGGGCCCCAGCAGGTCCCTACCTCCCGCAGTCCGGGGTGGGCCGGGTGGCGCGTTCTTACGCGCCTTCTTCCCAGGCATCTTCGCAAGCACCGCCTGAACTGCGCTGCAAACCTAGGGGGCCTCGGTCCCCCAAGTCGAGCCCGTGGACGCCTCCAGGACACCAGCTGCGCGCAGAGTGGACAGAGGGACTGTGAGAAGCGGTGCGCGCCAGGGGACCTCTAAGATCCGGGCCCGGCTCCAGTCCTAAGGGGACTTCCCCGTGACGTAGCGAAACTTGACGCCGGGCCCGCCCCTCTCCCCGCCCCCACGGGCCACTGCGGCGCGGGGACAGAGCCGGGATGGGCGTGAACCTGCTTCCAAACCCGCCGCCGGGCACAGACCGACTCCCGACCTGCGACGGCGCCGACCGCGGCGGGGGGCGCCGGGCGCGCTGCGGGCGAGCCCCTAGTCGGCCTCGAAATTACTTCCTGAAAAAAAATGGGAGTGGGAGAAAAGGGGTCGTCCCTGAGCATCTGCAGCCCCCGGATGGCGAGTAAACTGCGGTTGTGGCCGGGGCTAGGAGTCGACACCAGAAAGGCTTCCCAAGGGCAGGAAGAGAGGTGGCGAGGAGAGGCCTGGCTCCTCGTCCTCGGAGCAAATTGCCAATGAGAGGCTTTTGTTAGCAAATCCCGGGAAAAGTTCGGAAAAGGAAACTTCGGACTTAGAGGGCGTAGGTAGTTCCAAGGAAGTAACATGTAGAGAACTTGAACACTAGGGACGATGCCAGAGATACAGTGAGAATGGTGCCAGGCGAATTAAAACTCTTAAGTTTTGCATTTTAAAACCCTGCATCAGGGCTGGCAGGTGACCTAGTGGTTCAAGGCGCTGGACTCCCACATGGATGACTGAGTTTCAAGTGTTGGACCTCGTGGCTTGCTTTCTCACTGTCTCTCTCTCTCTCCTCTCTCTCACATCAAATTAAAAAATAATAAATAGAATTAAATAAATAGTTTTTAAAAAAATACCCTGCATCAAGGCAAAAAAAAACATTGTGTTTGAGTTGGGAAGAGGGGTGTGTGTGTGTGTGATGGTGGAGGGAGGGGGCTGGTTCTCAGGCCCTGTCAAGACCGATTTAATGAGGTGTATATTCCCACTGTGGATGTTGCAAATTTGGCTGTTTACTAACATCAGAACGTGGAGGTCATCGTGTAGAAAATGCTGTTATCTTTTGTGAAAGGAGGGATTTGCTATCTGGGAACATGAGATTATTGCAGTGTTTGGCTGGACCTTGAAAAAGTCCCTTATCGTGAAAAAGAGTAATTAGGAAGAGGTAGCAGGCGTTGAGCGCAGTCAGACTGAGAGCTTTGGCATGCATTTTCTTACTCCATCCTCAAAACATTGCCCGGAAGCTGACATTCTTACCATCATGGCACTTTTCAGGTGCAGAACTGAGGTTTATAGAAGTTCAGTAAATTCCAAGTTCATGTAGCTGAGAGCCTCATGGGGATCTAAACCCAGATAGGCCCAGAGGAAGCCAGAGCCTGCCCAGCGGTTGCAGTTTTCTCAGATAGTGTGTGTTCCTCTCTTATCCCTGCTACCTGAGGCAGAGTTTGCACGGGGTTGCTTATAGTTGCACGGGCTCCCAGTTTGGTTTGGTTCTCAAGGGTTGGTCTCCTAAATGTGTGGTGAAAACCTGAATGGATTGTCAACATTTAAAAACTGAGAAATTGCATGACATGCCTAGCTTTCTGGCATCGTGGGGAAAATCAGAAGTTCTAACCACCGGGGACTTCATTTTCCAAAAGTGCAGAGTTGGTTGGTGTGGTTGAATGAAGCCACAGTTTCTAAGGGCTTTGGGCTGTTGCCCACCAACACTCCCTGCTGTTCGTTTTCCATTTACATTATCTGGGCCCAGGAGGCATTTGAGCTTGTTTATTTACTTTAACTTGTTCAGTCAACACAAACCAGCAAATATTTATTTATGCCTTAGCCGTGCACAAGATGTAAACAATGCTACAGGTGTCAAACAAAATTCCTCTTGAGGTTGAAGCAACCCGGTTTAGAGGTTGATATTCGGTGTTTTCAGTGTGGTACGTCAGTAGGGGTAAGAGTGGGTGGAGTTCAGCACTTATCACCACAGGAAGCACCATGAAGAGGCTACCCTGGAATCGATTCTCTTGACCCTGGTAACTGTGGTAACCCAAAACCACTGTGGCCCTCTCAAGACTCAATTTCACTTCATAAGGAGGACCATTAACTTTCTGATTGCATAAGTTAGTAAACTTGTAGTCAAATCATGCACCCCAAAATACTCCTAACTAAACAAAAGGAAAGTGAATTATAACAGCTTTACCTAAAAGAGTGAGTCAGTCCTGACATAATATTACCATTATAAAAGGTGGCGTGACCCATACTGGATACAAGTCCTAGGCAGGTCGTGCCTTCTAGGGAATTGCAAATTCAACTTGCTAGGAAGAAAACGGGTTAGAATCAACTCGATTATGGAGGAGATTTTTAAAGACTTTGGTCCACTGACTCTTTCAGGTCTAACATTTTAGAGGATATTAGAAGCAAAGGGTGAAAAAACTCTCTTAACTGTACACCTCTCCGGAAAAGTGAACTACTAGTTAATGTTAGGCTTAGAAGTAACATAAACATGGGGGGAGGAGGTGTCTCCACAGCCTCCTGGTTCAGTGAGCTGACTGTGCAGTTCAAATCCCAGCCTCAGAGGCTTGAAAAAAATACATTTGTGCATGTGTGCTTGTCCAAAATCCTAACAGGATGGAGAAATGAAGAAAGGATTGTGGGCCAATCACACCCCAAGGGGTGCTTTCTCACTTGTGTAGGCTCCCTGGTGAGCATACACACCCTTTGACAAAAGAAAAAAAAAAAGTATTCCATACTATCAGTTTTAAAAGAAATAAGCAGGACTGGTAAGGAGGATGACTATTACCAGATAATTCTTTTTTAGTGTATCAAGTTCAAAAATGATAGTGCCCAGGTGGCCTGGTGGTTAACAACGCTAGACTCTCCCACATGACCAACTGCGGTTTGAGTTCCAAATCTGGTGACTTGCTTTCTCACTTTCCTTCTCTCTCTCTTGCTCTGTCCCTCTTAGTCAAATTAAAATAAATAAATAAATAAATAAATAAATAAATAAATAAATAAGGTTAAATAAAATATTTTTTTAAAAAAGACAGTGCAAATCTGGCCATGTCTATATTGTAACATAGGCTATTTAAAAATATAGATGTATATGTATACAGATAAATATAGATATATAGATAACAAGCATGATTAGCAATATAATAGTCATTCATATATTTCATGCAGAAAATAATTTGACAGCTGGACAAAAGGAGGTGAGAGATGAATGAGGGAGTATTTAGAGGAAGTATATGATGAAATGTATACTTTATTCCAATTCTTTTTTTAATTACTTTATTTAACTTTATTTATTTACTTATTTTAATTTGACCAGAGAAGATAGAGAGAGAAAGAGAAAGTGAGAAAGTAAGCCACCAGGTCCAGGACTCGAACTGCAATTAGCCATGTGGGAGACCAGTGCCCCTAACCACCATGCCACCTGCTGATCCCAGCTTTATTCCAATTCTTTATTCAATAAAAAGGGGCTTGTTTTTTCCTGTACAGCATGTTTGTCTGATGCTTTACTAAATTTAATCTCTATTTATCTATTTTAATTTGCCAGAGGGTACTCACGCTACTCAGAGAGAGACAGAAGGGGAGACTGTCCCTCCTCTTGTCACTCCGCAGTCCTTTCCCCTCCCTCCTTGCAGGATTTTGGAGTTGCAGGCATACATGCCCTGACATGTTTTTCACACTGCTGGATCCAGAGCTAGAACTGCAGTCAGCCATATGGGATCCAGCTGCCATAACCCATGTGCCACCAGCTGGCCCAAATAAATCTCTTTATTTGAAGACAAACACCCTGCTAGGCTGTGGGAAGACAGCACTCCCTGCCCCCATGAAACCTGTAGTGAAGAGCCTAGTGCCTCACACATTTAATGTGCACAAGGGTTATCTCAGTGGCTTGTTAAACTGTGCATCTGAATCTGGAGTTCTAATTGGACCTGCAGTTCTGCATCCTTTAAGGAATTCTGGTGGTGCTAATGCTTCAAGTCTGTGGATGAGTTGGAGTAGACTAAAAAAGGTGCAGAGAAACTCACAGGGAGGGAGAGTGTTGAGCTGTTGTGTAAAATCCTTGGTCCTCCGCTCATTACTAGCTAACTGCCTATCACAAAATCATGGTGGCCGGGACCAGCAGTTAGGGTAATGGCTATGTTGCTGGACTCCCACGTAGTCAACCATGGTTCAAGTCCCGGACCCAGTGGGTTAAACTCACGCCAGGCGCGTGTGCGTGCGTGCCCAAGATCCCAAGAGGAGAATAGAGGAGAAGGGATTATGGCGTGGCCATCCCCCCTGGGGGGTGATTTCTCACTTTCTATCTCTTTGTCTCTCTCTGTCTTTCTGGTGAGCGCACACTCCCTATAGCAAAAACTTCTCCAAAAAAAAAGAAAAAAAAAATGATGGTGGCCTACAGGACAACCTGGAAAAGCAGCAAAGAAGGGCCTGAGGCCTGAACAGGAGTTGGCCAGCCAGTGAGGCCAAGAGTGGACAGCGGGGTAAGCGGTGACAAGAGGTAAGTGAGGAGAAACCACGGGAGGAGTCAGGATATTGTGTGACAGTGGGGGACCCACTGAAGGGTTTAAACAGGTACACGTTGTCATCAGATTCTAGAAAGCTCACTCGGGCTGCAACATGAATAGTCAGATCAAGACCTAAAGCAGAATGATACTTGGAGATATTTTGGTTATTATCACACAGGATGGTAGTAGTAGCACTATTAGTAAAGACAGCCACTGTTTCAATCCATTTTATTAAAATGTACATATGTCCTCTTTAAAAAAAAAAAGGATTATTTTATTTAACTGTATGTATGTATGTATATATTTGAATTTGACCAGACAAGGGGAGAGAGAGAGAAAGTGAAAAAGAAAGCCACCAGGTCCGGCATTCAAACCACGGTCAGCCATGTAGGAGTCCAGCCCCCTTAACCACCACACCACCTGCCAGCCCCAAAATGCGCATATTTTTTGATCAGGGTAGAACAATTCCATTACAGTACATCTAGATAGTTTTCAGCATAACTGCAATTGACATTTTACCCCGCACTAGCTTTCTAGGCCTACGGAAACAACATACCACAAGCTCGGTGGTTTGAAACTTTTTC